GTGTGTGTGTGTGTGTGTGTGTGTGTGTGTGTGTGTGTGTGTGTGTGGTGTGAGGTAAGGCTCCAAGGTCAGTTTTCCATAGGGAGCTGTCCAGTTCTTCCAGCACTGTGTGTTGAAAAGGTCAGTTTTTCCCCATTAAATTATCTTAGTCCCTTTGTCAAAAGTCAATTGGCCATAAATGCTGTGGAGTCTCAATTCTACCCCCTTCTTCTGTGTGTGACTTCCTGTCAGTACCACACTGTCTTAATTACTGTAGCTTCGTAGTAAAATTTGAAATTGGGAACCATGAATGCACTAACTTTGTTTTTTTTTTTCAAGATTATTTAGGTACTATTCTGGATCTCCTGGTTATTATTTTGTCAATTTCAGCAAAAAGCCCCCTGGGATTGTGATAGGGATTGCATTGAGTCTGTCGATCACTCTGAGAATATCGTCATCTTGAGAATATGAAGTCTACCGATCTATGAACAAAGTTTTCCCTTTATTTAGATTTTAACTTCTTTCAGCAGTGTTTTCTAGTTTCTGGGGTACAGGTATTGAATTCTTCGGTTAAGTCTAACTATAAGCATTTTATTCTTCTTAATGCTATTGTAAATTGAGTTGTTTGCTTAAATTCTGTTTATGGATTCTTATTGCAAGTGTGTACATATACAATTGATGTTTATATGACTGATCTTGTGTCCTGCAGCCTTGCTAACCTCATTTATTTGTTCTATTAGCTTCTTAGTGCATTCTGTGGGGTTTTTCAATGTGGAAGAGCATGCCATCTACAGAAGAGCTTTACTCCTTCATTTCCAATCTGGATAACTTTTTTTTTTTTTCTGGCTTAATTGCCCTGGTGAGACTCTTCCAGTTCATTGGTGAATAGAGGTGGCAAGTGTGCATATCCTGGTTTTGCTTCCAGTCTAGGCCAGGAAGCATTCTGTCTTTCACCACTGAGGGTAATGTTAGCTGTAGGTTCTCCATAGATGTATTTTTTGAGGTTGAAGAGGTTCCCTTGTACTCCTAGATTTGGGGTATTTGTATCATGAAAGGGTATTGGATTTTGTCAGTGCTTTGCTGGATCGATTGAGATGATTATGTGGGTTTTGTCCATTACTATGGTAATTACCTTGACTGATTTTCATACTGGAGTTCCTCTTGCATTCCTGGCACAAACCCCACTTGGCCCTGGTGCGTGGTCTGTGATCATGACACAGTGTCCGAGTACAGTCTGAGGGTGCCCCGTGCCGAGTTCGGGTCCTCGCGACCCTCCAGCCTGCTGTGGCCACAGTGGTGTCTTTGTCTAGATCAGCCCTGTCCTCCCTTGCTTGCCACGAAGTGTCTCTGTCATTCTGCTTGGCGGCTCTGCCCCTCTCAGTTCTGATCCAGGGTTGTATGGAATTCTGATGTTCTGCTTCACTGTGTCTTTTCCGAGTTTCTCTTGCACAGACCGTCTGTCCTCTGAGCCATCCCCTGTCTGTCCTGACCCACCCATGGAGCTCTCCCTAGCAAGCACCCCTCCTCTGCTGGTAGGCAGGCTGGAAAGTTTCGCCGTGGGTGGGAGCAATCCTGATGACTCTTCGATTTCCTTCAGCTATAACTCCAGCCTGAAGCACCTCTCCACCCTTCAGCTGATGGGCAGTTACACAGAGGTCAGGAACTACATCACCGTGATGACCAGGGTCCTGACTCGTTGGGCTGCGGAGGACAGAAGTCCCTCGTGTGGCCAATGGTCACGAATACAGGATGCGCTGATTTCTTCTGTGTGCAGACTGCCTTTCACAGATCAGGTGCGGGCTAGGGAGGGCTCGGTGCCTGTAGGTCGGCATCTGCGTGGGTGGCTGGCTCGCCTTCCTTATGATACACAGTCAAGAAATGGGGTTTGGAGGGCCAGCCGGCGAGGCCTCTCCCGTCGGCTCATACTTGCACAAACAAATGCTTTTGGTTCATAAAACAGACCCTGTGCACATTAATAGCATGCAGATCATTCTGCTCACGTTTCTCTAAGTAAAGTGATGTGAATCCCATCTGACTTTACCTCGCCAACAGTGAGATGATGGAGTTAAATGTGTGATGACGTGCGGCTTCTAAGGAAATGAGCACGTGGCATTCAAATGCCGCTGTCCTGGGTCACTGGCATCTGCACCTCCTGCCCCCCCATCGCCACTAGAGGGCGCCCGCATCTCAGCGCAGGCCTCCTGTCTCTGTGACCTTGATACTCAACCCATTCTGTTTCTCCCTCCAGGACACCTCTCACCCTTTTCCAAAATTTCCCTGAGCTCTGACCTCCTCCTCCCTCCCCTCCGGTCACACTTCTGCTGGGCTAGAGGAGGCTGGTGTCCAACGGACACCCAGAGGGCACGGGGCCCTAGAAGGCAACGCAGGTCAAGGGGATGGTCCCTCCCCTGTCTCTTAGCTCAGAAACCCAGGACTGCTCTGTCTGCAGCAGCTTTGAGCTCGGTAACTAACTTGTCCCGGCTGTGTGTTTGCTTGTTTCTCCCGGTCAGGAAGAAACGAGCGCTTCTGTTCTCATGTTAAGGGACCTCCTACGCTTCCCTCACAAGGTGAGTGCTGTTTCTTTCCAAGTCTATTTTCCTGACCATTTTTTTGGGAGGGGGGCCTAATTGGGAGGACTCGATCAGTTCTCAAAGAACCTACAGTGCAGGGTTACGTTTTGACACCTAAATTAGAACCGGGACTTGCCCTGAGAATTCACGTGAATAATATCTCCCGTCCCAAGTCACGGGGGAGGAACTCCTTCCCGAATACAGAAATTAGAAACCCCAACGTAGAAATGGATCCTGACAGTACCATCCGCGCTATAGATACTTCTGGTAAGGGGACCACTCTCTGTTCTTAATCGAGGTACTGGGTTTTCCAGCTCCCCGCTTCTTTCTTTGTTTTCAAGTTTTTATTTAAATTCCAGTTAGTTAACATGCAGTGTAATCTTAGTCTCAGCTGTACAATATTGTGATTCAGCACTTGCCTACATCACCCGGTGCTCATCACGACAGGTGCGCTCCTTCCTCCCCATCACCTCTCTCCCCATCCCCCACCCAGCTCCCCTCTGGTCACCAGCAGTGTGTTCTCGAGAGTCAAGGGTCTGTTTCTTCGTTTATGTCTCTCTCTCTTTTTTCCCCTTTGCTTGTTTGTTTTGTTTCTTAAATTCCACATGTGAGTGAAATCATATGATAATTGTCTTTCTCTGACTGACTCATTTCGCTTAGCATAATAGTCTCTACTTCCATCCACATCGTTGCAAATGGCAAGATTTCATTCTTTTTCGATGATGGAGTAATACTCCATTGTATATATATATATAGAGAGAGAGAGAGCACATATTTGTTATCCATTCTTCAGTCAGTGGACACTGGACTGTTTCCATAGTTTGGCTATTGTTGATAATGCTGCTATAAACATTGGGGTGCACGTACCCCTTTGAATCTGTATGTTTGTGTCCTTTGGGTAAATACCCAGTAGTAGAATTACTAGATCATATTGTAGCTCTATTTTCAACTGTTTGAGGACCCTCCATACTGTTGTCCAGAGTGGCTGCACCAGTTTGCGTTCCCACCAACAGGGCACAAGGGGTCCCCTTTCTCCACATCCTCGCCATCACCTGTTGTTTCTTGTGTTGTTGATTTTAGCCATCCTGACAAATGTGATACCTCATTGTAGTTTTGATTTGCATTTCCCTGATGATGAGTGACGTGGAGCATCTTTTCATGTGTCTGTTAGCCATCTGGATGTCTTCTTTGGAGAAATGTCTGGTCATGTCTTCTATCTGTTTTTTGTTTTTGTTGTTGTTGTTTTGAGAGAGGGAGAGCAAGAGTGGGGATAGGGGGAGGGGCAGAGGGAGAAAATCTCAAGCAGACTCCCCACTGAACGTGGAGCCTGACATGGGGCTCAATCTCATGACCCTGAGATCATGACCTGAGCCAAAACCAAGAGTCCTAGTTTAACTGGCTGAGCCACCCAGGCACCCCCAACCCTTCTTTCTTGTCAAATCCCCGGCTCCTGGTCTTGAGCTCTTTGCTGCTTTTTCCATGTCTCCTTCGCTGCAGGGCAGTCCCCAGCTTGGTCAGAATGTCACTTATTTACGATCCCTCTGGATGCCACCCCATTTCTGTGCCCCTCCGCAGGGCAGAACCTGCAGAAAGCGGGCTCTTCGCCTGCTGTGGCACACGCATGGTTAAGCTGTCAGGATCTGACTGCCGTCCCCACCTCCACACGGAGCCTGCAAACTCCCCTGCTGCCCAGTCTGCCCTATCAGGACCACGCCCCCTCCCCGGGGACAGCCTCTTTGCCTGTGACCACTGTGGGCTCCTCCCTTCCCCTTTGGTTGGTGGGTGCCCGAGGGCTGTGTCCCTGGCCCTACACTCTCTCTGCACTTTCTCCCTGGGAGGGGGTCTCCAGCCTTTTCCATTAAATCCAAGTGATGGTGACGCTGCAGTGTGGTCTCTACCTTGACCCTGTACCCAGAGTTGCAGACTCGTCAGTACACGGGTCCCGCATGGTGGTGTCTGGTATCTCTGCTCCCCCGTCTTCCTCCCCCTCCCCCCATCCCCTGCTTTCCCTGCTCAGGGACACAGCACCTCCCACTCCCCAAGTCAGCCAAGCCCAGGGGCCACCAAAGAAGCCCTCTCTTCCTCATCTGTCTCTGTGAGTAAAGTCTGGTCAGTTCTTCCTCAGAAACATACCTGGAGGCTTCCTACCTCTGTCCTCCTGCGGCTGTTCTCCCCAATCCACGCAGATGACCCTTCTCATTCCAGACTATCTGGCTGTGTCCGACCGTGCTCCCTGCCTCTCTGACTGTGCTCCCTGCCTCTCTGTGCTCCCTGCCCCCCGACTGTGCTCCCTGCCTCTCCGACTGTGCTCCCTGCCCCCCGACTGTGCTCCCTGCCTCTCTGACTGTGCTCCCTGCCCCTGACTGTGCTCCCTGCCCCCTGACTGTGCTCCCTGCCCCCCGACTGTGCTCCCTGCCTCTCTGACTGTGCTCCCTGCCCCCGACTGTGCTCTCTGCCTCCCAACTGTGCTCCTTGCCTCTCTGTGCTCTCTGCCCCCCGACTGTGCTCTCTGCCGCCCAACTGTGCTCCCTGCCTCTCTGACTATGCTCCCTGCCCCCCGACTGTGATCCCTGCCCCCGACTGTGCTCTCTGCCCCCCGACTGTGCTCCCTGCCTGACTGTGCTCCCTGCCTCTCTGTGCTCTTTGCCCCCCGACTGTGCTCCCTGCCCCTCCAACTGTCACAAGCGGCACAAAGGCATTTTCTCAGCCTGAGACCACGAACACCACCCCGCGGCTCTAAGTGAGGTCAGACCCAGGCAGCTGGCTATGTGGATCCTGCCCTTTACCATCTCCCCCTGACTGTTCCCTGCACCCCGGGCAGCCGCGGTGTCCCTCCCTGCCCTGCTCACAGCCCCTCAACGGCAGAGAGCTTTCCCTTCACTCAGCTCACGTGCTCACCTGTCACCCCATGGAGAAGTGCCGGACCCGCAGCCTGAAGTCACCTTCTGCCACCGCTTAGCAGCTTCAGGACCTTCCCAGCCAGCAGCTGCCTCATCACCTCCCTGCTACCCCCCACCGGAACATTCCCCCACGCACTCAGGGCCCTTCTGTTCTGTGCACCCCATAACCACGGCCGTGACGCCAGCCCAGCGCCACAGACAGAGGGAATGAGTGACGACGTGGACGGCCCTGTCACCTTGTTCCCCTCCCTCCTGCCTGACTCGCATCCTCACCACCTTGAACTGCTCCACGGCAGCGGCCACACCTGGGCAGGAAGGCCGGCCACATCCCCACGCGAGTGCCGGAGCCGTCCTCAGAGCAGACGCATCAGCCGGTGACCCTAGCTGCCTTTAAAGTGCTGGCGACTTCCCAGCAGCTCGAGGACATCGGTTCTCCTGCGTCTCACCCCTGCGCTTGACCTGTCTCCAGCTCCTCTGCCGTCACCCTGCACCTTCCCCACGGCCACCTGCCATGCTCCTGTCCCTGCACCTCTCTCGTATCCCTGAGACAGCATGTTCTCCCTCAGCCTGAAGTGCTCCTACTAGCACTAGCACTGGTTTCTCCTCCAGGCGAGGTTCAAATGCCCCCTGCTCTGTGGACTCCAGAGCCTGGAAGCCAGAGTCCCCTTTCTCTGGACAAACCCGCGCGTGACTGCGTCTGGGCACTCTAGCACCTGCGACTCACGGTTCCTCTCTGCTCATCTGTCTTCCACCTCAGACTGGATTGGGTCAATAATGGACCAGCCCTGGCATGTCGGCAGCCCGGCCCGACCCAAGTCTGTCCCCACCACACTCGCAGGTGTTTAGTAGGTGGGCTTCCCGGGGTGATGCAGGGACGCGGCTCCTTTCAGCTTGTGCTCCCCTCTGGCTTCCAGGCTGGAGGAGGGTGTGAAGGGGCACCACTTGTCGACAATGTTGCCTGGAGGTGCCACTCCTCACCCCGTCACGTCCCCCGGGAGGTCCCGTCCCGAGGCCACTCCTGGGCTCCAGGCTCCCAGGGATGGAATTAGCTCAGTGGTGCACAAACCTGAGCATGCCTGTCACTTCTAGAAACCATTTCCAATCGTTTGGGTTGAAAAACATCCGGTGTGAAAACTGACCATGATGTATTCCTTAAAGCATTTGTTTGAGTTCAAGTAAGAGATTCTTCTTTCCATTTGGATGATAAGTCACTTCGGGTACAGTGCCTTTAATAGGGGTGTCAGTGTGTTTCCAGACTAGTTTAATTTTACTGCTGGCAAACAGGGTTTCATTGCAGGGAGTATTTCCAAAACATTACCATTTTGGTTAAACAAGCACGACTGCCAGATAGTGGGATCTTAATTTCATCTCATCGATGTGTATTTATTAGTAATTCCCGGGAGCTGCTAAGGCACAAAGCAGATCATTTAGTCCTGTCTTTTGGGCACCGATGAGTGAAGCTACATGTGGGAACACATATGCTTCAATAAACATGCCAGGTCCTGTAATGACGAGATGACAGAGTGTTCTAGAAAGGTGCTGGTGCAGAGCACTTCACGTGGCAGACGTTTGAAATTGTTTTTAAAAAGTAAGTGGGAAGAATCATGATTCATCTTGTTCGAGGTGACCATGAGCTCATGGGCATGTCTTTAGAAAGAGTTCTCATCTGTCAGCAACTGACGTGTTGGTGGGTAGAAATAATACCTGAGATTTGCGTTTAAATATTGTTTCAGAGGTCCAAGGAGGGATAGAACATCTGTTGCGATGAGTAAGGGTCACAGCTGGGAGGGGGCCTGTCATAGCACTGTATTATTCTCTCTACTTCTGTGTGGATCCAAAAATGGTCCCTGTTAAGGGTTAAGGAAAAGAGAGGAGTAAGATTTTGCCAGCAGATGCAGCGTAAGGGCATTGCAGGGAGACGCCTTGATTCTTTGGGAACCGAAGGAGGGTCTGTGCACTCAGATGCCTGTAGGAGGCGGTGGGGCCCATTTCAGGGTTTGTGAAGCGGTTGTTGGGTTCAAAGCAAGTAGCGTCTTAACATAAACGGCCATCAGAGACCTTTATTTTCTGTGGTTGTTTCGTGGTCAGGAGACTGAAGACCAGAGAAGAAATTGGCACCAGTGACGTAGGCCAAGAATCCACTAGACACCAAATCCAGGCTTGAACCCCGCCCTCTCGAGCCGTGGTGCTGTTTTTTTATTTCCAGCAGTGATGGAAGAGGCAGGTATGGGGAGACTCTCCATTTGCCTTCTCTCTTCCTGCAGTTAAGCTTTACGAGTGCGGCTCTCATCCTCAAAGCCGCCCGGGCGCTCCAGGCTCAAAGCCCACTGTCGGGGAGGCTTGCGGTGGACGAGGGGCCAAGGCTTGAGCTCATCCTGCTGGTGTCCGAAGTCTTGGAAGCATATGACCAGGACAAACCGAGGACTGTGGGCTGCCTGCAAGAAGAGGGGATTAAGGTCATCTCAGATCTCTTGTTGGTAAGCCCGACTTTCTCTCCATGGGTAGCAGCCATCTCCTCTGTAACTGCTTCTAGAAACCAAAAAGAGAATTGGTTCCGGAAGTACTATGGTGATTGTTCTGGGTGGTCGCGGGGTCCTTGGAAATTTTGGGGTTGAATTTCAAGTGTTTCGTGTGAATTTTGTCATGTTCCTATGAAATGTTTCTCTGCTCCATCCTTCTGTGTTTTGGGAGATTTCCTTCTGGGCTGTCTGGGGCAGCGCTGGACTTAGAACCAGCATTTTTTAGCACACTTTCTGCTTCTTGAGGAGTGAAGAGAAGTAATGCAAAGGATTTCTAATGTGCGTTAGTGTAAAGAGCAGCCCTCTGATACTCAACTACAGAAAAATCCACCCAAGTTTATTTCTGCTGCAGTAACTATGGGAAATTGGGATTTACTGGGTTTTTCCCTGTAAGAAATGGCCAACACTTTTAAGAAGCAGTAAGTTAATAGGCTCTGTCTCTCCTCTCCTACTCATTTATCTTCCCTCGTGCCCAGACCTACTGGTTTACCTTACATTTGGGAAATCAGAAAATAAACAAAGGCTCACTCTGAATCTCGTAATAGCGACCAGGATTAGCAACTCTGCGTGCGTGCGCTACACATCCTTACACCTGCCCTCGCTGACCCCTACGGCACGGGGCTTAGGTCCATTGCCAAGTCCATGGGGTATTCAGGCTCCTTCTGGATGGGCCAAGAAGCTGCAAAAAATATAACAGAAGTATCACACTTGTTGCAAAATGAATAAGATTACAGGAAGATGAGTCAAAACCAAAGAAAGCAGTTTGCATTTTATTGTTATTGGGCATTTATAGCTTTATATCAAAATAGTCGCTGGGGCCCGTGAATCCCAACCACGCTGAGGTGGGCCACCTTTCCCATTATTTGCCGCCTCGCCCCTGGTTCCGGATCCCAGACAACTTACTCATTTGCACTGGGAACGTTTGACTCTCCCTGCTCCATTTCAGGATGGCCTTTCTGCAAACAAGGAGAATCGGCTCCACATCAGCACTGGGCAGATGGAGTTCCACATGCTTATTCATCACGACCTGCAGAGCTGCGTGCAGGGCCTGGGCTCCGTCCAGGTGCATTTCCCTGCAGACCTGGCTAGACAGAGTCCTGCAGGGGTGGAAATGCAGAGCCCATGCTACATTAGCCACCTCGTGCTCTTTAAGAAGAACCCGTATCCAGGGGGCCATGCTCCTGGTCAGGTACAATATGGCGGGTGACTAGCCCCTTCCAATGACCACTTCCAGTGTGCAGTAATGATGCTTTGAGGAGGAAGAAGGGACCAGGGTGGTGGGGCACCTGGGTGGCTCAGTCAGTTGAGCATCTGCCTTCAGCTCAGGCCATGACCTCAGGGTCCTGGGATCTCTGCTCAGCAGGGAGTCTGCTTCTCCCTCTGCCTCTGCTTCTCCTCCTGCGCATGCTCTCTCTCTCTCTCTTTTTCTCTGTCAAATAAATAAAATCTGAAAGAAAGAAAGAAAGAAAGAAAGAAAGAAAGAAAGAAAGAAAGAAAAGAAAAAAAGAAAGAAAGAAAGAAAGAAAGAAAGAAAGAAAGAAAGAAAGAAAGAAAGAAGAAAGAAAGAAAGAAAGAAAAAGAAAGAGAAAGAAGAAAGAAAGGAAGAAAGAAACCATCTGAAGGACCCCAGGAATGGCAGGGAGCTGGGAGGGCAGAGCCCGGCATTTTCTGTGTGTTCCACACCCCCAGCCTGGCTCAAGTACCTGATGATGTCTGATGAATGAATGCACCAATTAATGATGGGCAGCTTCTTTTGGTAACAAACGCTCATCTTATAGAACATTGACCTTTTATTATTTTTGTAGGGAAATAGAAATGGTTAGCCAGCATATGAAAATCATATGAAATGGTTAACCCGCATATGAAAATCAGACTAACGAGCAGTAAGGAAATAGAAATGAAAATGATTTTTTAGTGCGCAGCAGTGCAGTTGTTTAAAGAGACTCACCTGTGTGGAGGTCCAGCAAACGGGCATCCGAGATGTGTGCTCCCTGAGCGGTGCTCCCCGAGCAGTACTCCCGAGATGCTTCAGACACCGGACCTGCTGCTGTACTTGCAGGAACCTACAGAGGAGATGAGCAAAGACTTACTCAAAGCAAGATGTGTAGCTTTATTAATTCAAAACAACATGGTTCATGATAACCCAAATGGAGTTGTACCTGCATGTTCAATGGGGGCCCAGCTCACTGGTGATTTAAGTGAATTATGATCATCTATATATAGCCAGTTAATGATGTCAGCCGGGGAATTTTAGTGACTTTAGAAGCTTTTATGCAAAAAATGCAGAACATGCATTGTGTGCCACATACGTAGCTGGCACATAGAGATGGTTTCAGATGTGGCATCCCCAGACGGGTTCTCTGAGCGAAGGTGTTCTAGACCCCTTTCTGTCCCTTCCTGATTGTCTGTGATCTGCTGCTCTTTCTTTCATATGAGCTTTCCAAGTAAATAGCAAGACTACCGGGGCACCTGGGTGGCTGTTTGTTAAGCATCTGACTCCTGATTTAGGCTCAGGTTGTGATCTCATGGTCCTGAGATCTTGCCCTGCGTCAGGCTCCACAGTCAGTGGGGAGTCTGCTTGGGATTCTCTCTCCTTCTGCCCCTCCCCCCTCAGTTAAAAACCAAAATAACAAAACTGCTTTAGAGACTAAAAATTATCAAGGTAGTGAGAGTGATCATCCAAGGGCAGCATGGCGTCCCCCAATCCTGCCATTCTAACCAGCTAAAGGAGCCGCGTTTTTCTGCACTGCCCCCTACCATCAGGTGCCCAGCATGGCCCACGGGAGGGGTGTGACTGCTGGCCCCCCGCTCCGAGGCACTCTTGTCTCCGCAGATTGGCCAGGTAGTCGCCCCGTCCCTGTTCAGCTGCTCCAGCAGGAGACCCATCAGCAGGAGGCGGCTGAGGGAGCCCATGACCGTGGAGTTCAGGGCGGAGGATGGCCTGGTGAGGGGTCTTTCCAAGCTGCCCTGAGTTCATGCAGACCGCGCTGGCTGGCTTTTCCTGCCTTTGCTGACCTTGCTTTCCATTTGGGGACAGGAAAATAGAAATAAGACGACGTTTGTGCTGCTCCGGAATAGAGTGAATATTCATCAGTTCATCGGGCATTCGGCAAACCCCCAGGAATCTCTGCACATAAGGATAGAATTTTCTAGGCCTGTTTTGAGAGCTTTCCCGGTCATGGTGCTGGTAAGGTGTGTTGTGGGGGGACTGCCACCATGGAAGCCAGATAGCAACAAGAATGACAACATGATTCATGATAATTGTGAACATCTCGTGAAAACCAGGGAGTGAAATTCACTTTCCATGCTGTCCTGAGGCTCGTGGTCCACAGAAATTATGGGACATACACTTGCTTGGGGAGGAAGCTTCCTGCTTTGTTTCCCTGAGATTGGATTCCTGCCCGCTGAGCTTCTTAGAGTAAGAAACACCTGAGTGTCAGTGACAACACAAGGGGCCTCATTTGGAATCCAGTGCTCTCTCCCAGTATAGACCTGGGTCCGAATTCTATTTTTTATTTTTTTTAAAGAAAAAATTGTGTCAGATGATGTGTCAGAGGAGACTTGATAAATGAACCCTGTTTCTCAACGATGTTGAGTTGGTGAGGCTTGGGTAGGCCCATTTCACGAACAGATCACAAGGGAGCCCTGAATAAATGGCCACTTGGGAAGGTTTTTTGGAATCCTGCATCGACAGTGTCAACGGAAGCCACCGGCTCTGGGACTTCGTGGTCCGTCTGGATGGGCCCGGGTTCTGTTAGATCATCTCTCCTCCCCGTGGGCTGGGTCCTCCCTCTGTCCCACTGCCCTGCTCGGGTGGGGCCGTCAGCCAGGTGGCCTTCTGCAGGGGGATGTCTACACCGCGTGCACCATGGTCTCCCTGTGTATCGTTGGCTCCACCCTTCTGCCACATGAGCCGAACCGTTATTGGGAGCAAATCTCTTTTCTCCTTTGGGTTTTCCCTTAATTCTTTAGGTCACGCAGATAAAAGGTCAGTTGGTTCTGACCAGGTTCTCAATGACTGTGTGGGGCTCACTGTCCCCCATCCTCCCGTTCTGGCTGCTCGCAGTCACTGCGAGGAGGTAACTAGGACCAGCAAGTGCATCTGCCTCAGCGCCCGCCTTCCCGAGTGTGCAGAGCAGTACTGTGTTATTCCCACAGGCTGTGCCATTTGTGTTTCGGACTGAAGGTTTTCTTCTGTAATGAGTGAGGAGGGACAGTGTTGTGTGGCTCTTATCGAAAGCCCAGTGGTGCCGTGGAGTCCCGGCCTGTGTCCTTGTCATCAACAGGGTGTTTTGCTCAAAATCCTATGACTAAGGTCTTTGGGAGGAAAAAGCAAAACAGAACTAGACACTGTTGCATTGTTTTTCCATCCTAGGTTCTCTGAGAAACCTACTCCTTCTGATTTTCTCGTGAGGAATGTCTACATCTGGGATAAGCAGACGGTGCATGTGTATGTACCTGCTGGTCCTCCGAGAGGTCAGTGGACAAGGTCCCATATATTTATTTTTATTTTGTTACAGATTTTATTTATTTATTTGAGAGAGAGAGAGAGAGAGAGAGAGATTGAGTTTGAGCCGGGAGGGGCAGAGGGAGAGAGAAAGAATCTGAAGCAGATGCTGCACCGAGCGCGGAGCCCGACGTCGGGCTCGATCCCATGACCTGAGCCGATCACGACCTGAGTTGAAACCAAGAGTTGGACGCTTAACCAACTGCACCCCCCATGTGCCCATAATTTGTAGTCGTCCATGTGATGACAAGAGCTGTTAGAAGGGATGCACGGAGAGCGGTGTCTTTCTTCACTCGTAGTGGAGACAGGAAGCCGCGTCAGAGCAGGTGGCCCATCTCGGCGCAGCCTGACCGCAGTCACCTCTGCACCGCATCAGCACTCCGTTTTGGCCAATTTGGTGGACCTTCCCCAACCCCCAAGATCTCCCTGCTGGCTGCTCCTCTGGCATCTGTGTTTGCCTCTCTCGTTTGCCACTCTGCCACCCGGCGTCAGGGGCCTGACTCGAGGGCCTCCCTGCAGCTCCCGGGCCCCTCCCAGCCCTCACTGGGGTCTCTGTTCTCCCCCAAAGGCAAGAAATGGGTAGCGTGCTTCAGGGGTCCACACGGCATAAACACACAGGTCGGGCTGATTCTGCAGGCTGTGGTCCTTGCTCGGGGATTGGCTTCCGACTGATGCCCCTGTCTCCTGTCTCTACATTTGTATGGGATGTGACTCTTTTCCTCTGAGAACCGGTCACTCTGAGCTCTTGGTTTCTTTTTAAAATGGACAAATCTGTTATCAAATTCAGATTCTCAATGGCAATTTATTTTTTTAAAGATTTTATTTATTTATTTATTTATTTATTTATTTATTTATTTATTTAAGTGTGAGTATGAGCAGGGGGAACGGCAGAGGTAAAGAGTATCTTCAAGCCGAGTCCCCACTGAAGCAGGGAGCCCAATGCAGGACTCGATTCCAAGACCCTGAGATCATGACCTGAGCCAAAGGCAGCCACTTAACCACCCGTTTCTTTTTGTCAGGTTTTACTTTCCTTTCTTAGAATACATTGTCCTAAGTACATGGTCAAAAATTACTTGAATTAATTCTTTTTGGTGTAGACTTTCACTGACAGTTTTATGGACTATTGGGTTTACTGTTTTTTCTAAATATGTTTAATATGAAGGGTTACTGTTCTCCATTTGCTTTTTCTGTTTGTTTGTTTTTAAGATTTTTTTAATTTTAAGTTATCTCTAACCCCTCAACATGGGACTCGAACTCACAACCTGGAGATCCAGAGTCATGTGCCCCACTGACTGAGCCAGCCAGGCGCCCCTGATCTCCATTTGTTTTTATCTAATTTTTTAAAAATATGTGAGACATTTCTATTGCTCAAATGTCTAAGCCTTACTAAAAATGTAGATACTCAGGGGCACAGGAAGTGTCTAGATGCAGTATTCTAGGGTCGAATGGTAAACGTGTGTGCAGTTTCCGTAAATATTGCCAAACTCCGTGCCCCCCCCACTATGAGCATAGGGCCTGTTTCCCCACAGCTTTGCCAACAGAATGTTTTCAAGATTTTGAATTTTGCCAGATGGATATTTGAGAAATGGTAGTTTTAATATGCAATTTATGTTGTGATTTGAGCATTTTTTTCATACATTTAAAGGTCATTACCTACTTTTTTTTTGGTGAACTGTTCATATACATCCATTTCTCTCTTGGGTTTATTTTTTCTTGACTCCTAGAGTTTCCGACTTTGTTTTTTTCTTTTGCTTTGCAAAGTCTTTTTGTAAAAAATAGTATTTATCAACTTTTTAAAAATTACTCTTAGATTGTGAGTCCTTGTTAGAAATTCATTCCGTATGCCCAGGTTATGAGAGAAAATCATTCATATTTATGTTTTCTTTTTGTGTCTGCACGGTTCCATGTGTGTTTACATTTAAATCTCTGATTGGTGCTTATTACTGTAGGTGGCATGAGATACAGATCTGATTTCCTGTTTTTACAAGTGGTTAGTAGCTAATTGTCACACCATCACTCATTAAAAAATCTTAGGGGAAAGGGGCGCCTGGGTGGCTCGGTCAGTTGAGTGTCCTAAGTCTTGATTTTGGCTCAGGTCATGATCTCAGGGTCGTGGGATCGAGTCCCGCTTCGGGCTCTGCTCTCAGAGGGGAGTCTGCTGGAGATTCTCTCTCCCTCTGCCTCTGCCCTCCCCCGCCCACCTCTCTCTCAAATAAATAAATAAATCTTAAAAAAAAGTCTTAGAAATTTTAAATAAATGGAATGTTAAATATTTTTACTTCTAAACATAAAAAGTTACCCACAAGTGGTAGGCTAACAACACACAGCCACTGCGTTGTCCTTGTGGGGACCGCTGCAGACCCAGGACTGGCAGCTGGCTGATGGGGCCAAGGAGAAGCAGGAAGGGGTTGTGTGGAGCTGGGGAAGCTGCCTCCTGGGTCTTGTGTCTCCTGGGCAGGGGGCTGGCCCATTCCGGGTGTCCAGAGGGACCTGGAATATAGGCAAACATATCCAACACTCTGCCAGCCCCCATGAAAATCGGCAGCGGGGAGCCTGCCTGGACCCATTTGGCTCGCAGTTTACATGCCCTGGTAGAGGAAGCACCAGATGGCCCCTCCCCTGGCCCACTGCCCACTGCTCTGGCCGCCTGGGAATGCATTATGCCTTTCTGCAAACTTCAGGTGTATTTATTTTTTCTCTTTTTAGACACCAGCTTGGGATATTTATCCTTACTAGACGCTGACTATGACAGAAGCCCTCCGAACAAATACTTCGCGCAGGCAGTGAACTACACGGTGCATTTCCAGTGGGTCCAGTGCCTCTTCTGGGAAGCGAGAGAGTGGAAATCTGCAAGCTTCTCTCCACAGCCAGGAGCGTCTCCAGAAAAAGTGACCTGCAGGTACAGACGTACTGTTGAAGACAAACTCGAGACTTTTAGAGGCTGACTGCATTTTCTTCTGTGCGGGGCTGGGTGCCTGAGCCTCCCTGGCCGTGGGTCCCTGTGAAAACGGCAACAGTACCTGGTGCGTGCGCCCTTCCCCATCTGCAGCCTGGCTCTCCCTGGGCCGCAGCCTCTAGGAGAGCAGGGCCTGGCTTTTCAGGGCTCACCCCTGAGGTGACAGCTGTAGTAGGTGTCCCCCTGATGTCTGTTGAACCACGCAGTGGGTGTCTGGTTGGTGGCCGCACGTCCACTCGCAGTGGGGCTGGGCTTACGCCTGCCGGCCTCTGGGCTGAGCAGGACCATGCACAGTGTGGACACTGAGCCGTCTGCACGAAGTTATATTTACTAGAACCTGTCCCCCTTTCTGCCCCTCCTTTAACCCATGCATGCGACACTGTAGACTGCCGGCACACGTTTGGCGTCCTAACCCGCGTCTCCTTCCTGTAGCTACGACCGCCTTGTGCCCGTCTCTGTCGCAAGAAGAAACCTGAACACCAGTTTTTCAGTGAGTGACGTTTCCAAGTGGCAGAGGTGAGTTTCGCTTTGTAGATCACAGTGGGATCACGCGGGATGCCCACGTGTCATCCCGCAGATGCCAGAAACCCATGTCACCTGTTACTGTTTTGCATTTTGGAATCTTTTCTGTCTGTACCTACATCCGCAGACAGGAGATGCAAAAACACGAGAAAGTCAACATACTTTCCATCAAGCTCAGCTTTGGCTCACCATGAACCTGGTCAGTCGGCACTCACTGGGTCATTCTCGTCAATGAGGACACAGTGGTTTGCCCATCCTGATTTATGCATATTCATAGCTCCCTCTTTCTCTTCAAAAGTGTCCCATTTTATCGTATTATTATTATTTTTAAAGTTTATTTATTTAAGTCATCTCTACACCCAACATGGGGCTCAAACTCATGACCCTGAGATCAAGAGTCACACGCTCTTCCAACTGAGCCAGCTGGGCACCCCCAAAGTGTCCCATTTTAGATAATAGATTTCAACTCAAGCTTATTTCTGTGGCCACTCTTTTACCTGGAACAGGTGTATTTGGATTCTGAACTGTGGGTTGGTAGAGGGTGCATTTGTGCGGGCAGGAGCCCTCCACCCGGTCACCCACATGGAGCACTGACCGGACTTGGCCACAGCAGGCACTGAGTGGGTGTTTGCTGAATGAATATCCGTGGCAGGGTCTGCATTTCCTGGTGTGCGTTGGGTCTCTCTCACGTTGATGTAATGGGGAACTCTACCCCATACCTTATTATTTAATCGATCATCAAAGAGTTGATTGCTTTGTAGACCAGTAAGTGGATTACTGACACCACATGTGCTGGTGACAGTGAGGTCACCAGGAATCCAGTGAGTGGGACTCAGGACAGCTGTTCAGCTGTGGTTTTAGATATGACTTGGGTGGGGGGACAAACCGTCAGGAGAGGGATAGCCCTTGGGACACCCAGATAGAAGGCAACACCTCGAGTCAGGCAGGGGCAGGTGCATTCTGGGAGGACAGCATCCTTGCAAAGCACCTGCCTGCCCTTTGAAACCCTGTCAGAATCCCATAAGACTCTAGGTTAGGGTCCTGGCACTAGTGACTGGAAGTGGACCCCACTCTGTGGGTCTGGAGTGTTCGGTGACTCCCCACCCCCAGGCAGCAAGGGCCAGGTGCAGTGGGGAGCAGGCAGCCCAAGCACACAGGGCGGGAGGGATGGGGCAGTTAGGCACGGTCGCCGGGAGGGAGGCAGCGTCCATTATGCCCACATATCGAAGCACTTTACAGACATCGTACTCCTGAGTCTTCATCGGAGCAGCGAGATCGGTGTTCTTGTCACGTTTCATCAAGAAAGCTCCTCAGAGAGAGGCCATGAGTGGCAGCACCACACGGGCTTCAGATGCAGAAGCTGGTCTGTCACCAGGCGTCTCTGTCTGAGTCCCTGCTCCTGAGAGCCTCCAGCAGCTCCTCCCCTGAGGGGCTCAGACCCATCCTAACATGGGGATGACAGAGGCCACGCCATGCCCTCCACCCTTTCCTTCTTGGCCTTCCCCGTAAGAATCTACTTTCTCCTCCCAGTTACAAGACAGACAAGCATTTACAAACATATCAGTGAAGACCAGCAGAGGCCTCTGTGTGTGTGTGTGACTGTGCATGCGAGTGTGTGAGCATGAGCCAGTGGGGGGGAGGGCATTGGTTAGTCTTTGCCTGATGGTTTGTTTTCATAAGTTACCATTTATTCCCCTCCTTTCATTTACAGACACCCAGAGAACCTGCTTCCCAGTATTTTGGTGGTTGTTTTTACGATTCTTTATGCACTTCTGGTTACTAAAAGCAGACGTGTAGATCGTCACGAGAAGAAGAAAGCTGGTTACATTTTTCTGCAAGAAGGTGCTCCCCCCGGCCACCAGCTGTATGCGGTTGTCGTGGACACGGGCTTCCGGTCTCCTGCCCGCTGTAGTGCCAAGGTGAGCGGGTCATCCTGGGACTCGCACTTTGTGGTGTGCAAGGCTGTGGATGGTGGGAGTGACGGCCTCAGACACACCCTGTGTGGAGACTGGCCTTCCCAGCTGCCCCATGTTCCTCCATCCAGAGTGGGGGGCTCCTCTCCACCTCGTGCACACCCGTGCGAGCCCTCCCCGCCCTCAGGGCTGCCCCCTCGAACCTTTGTCTCTCTCCACCTTCTCCGTGGAGAGCAGCCCGCATGTCCAGCCCCACGTGAGGAGAAGGACCGATGGATACATGGGGCAGATGGGCATCACGGGGGCAGCCCCATGGGAGGAGCAGGGGCCATTCCGCAAGATATTCGGGGACCGTGGCTTTCCCTGTGGAAAAAAGCACTATTAAACCTCTACTTCACATTACACCCCAAAGCAGCTCCACAAGACTGGAGACTTACAGATTAAAATAAAATTTAGAAACCTCTCGAAGAAAATATGTGCTTTGCGATAGGGAAGGATTTTAAAAACTGGAAATAAATAAGGCACTTCCTTAAATGAACGATTGATCTTGTGTTTCTGGGCCACTGAAGCCACCCCACCGGGGAGTGGCGAGCCCCACGCGGCTGAGAATGTGTGTCTGCAGGGTGCCTCGCACACCCCAGTCATGGTCACAGCCCCCTGGGCAGCCCTCAGGCCTCCCCGTGTCCCCTCTGAGCCGAGGAAGGAGGACGTACCCACTGTCTGTCCACTTACTCCCGAGACAAGCTCGTGCCCTAGTGAATCCAAGTTGCCGTCTGTCTTTTCTAGATCAAACATGTAGAAATCCGGCCAACCTGGAAGGACAGGTGCTCCTTCCTGGGGCTCTCCTGGGGAAGTGTGGGAGGGGCCATCCAGGGATGGAGCAGGGTGTCCCCTTGGTCCCTCGGGGCCGGAAGGTTCTGGGAAGGCTGGGGGCTGGGAGACGGTACAAGGACTCCCCTTTCTGGCTCAGCGTAGTGTCCTGTGTCCAGGATCTCACACCTCCACCTTGTGTCTTTGTTTTGAGGTTTACATTGTTCTCTGTGGTGAGAATGGGTTTTCAGAACCCAGAGAACTCTACTGTCCAGAGAGGCCCCTGTTTGAAAGGAATTCCAGACATACTTTCGTCCTGAGGTGAGCAAGGCCCGTCCGAACCGTGTGGCCCTATCATGAGCCCAAGGAAGCAAAATGCACAATGTCACTGTCCAGTAAGGAGCGTCAGCTTGCACACGGACGGTCTTATAAAGTCGTTCGTGGTGCTGTCTGATGTAGATTCGTGTGGGAGTGAGGACGGGTGTTGGTTCACACGCTGCCGACACTCAAACGGCACGGATCCCGCTCAGCTAATTCAGGTCCTCCTAAATTGGGAAGAGCAAGGACACGTGGCCGTGCAAAGACCGTTCACTTGGGTGGGGAGGGATCACTGATCGGGCGTCCAAGCACCTGCCGGTTTCAGAAAATGTGGAGAAACTGCGCTAAATGCTTTTTCTCCTGGTGAACCTCGTGCACGGTCTGTATCGGTTCGGGCCCCATCTTCACTAAGAAGAGGTGAGCTCCAGACTTGTCCACGCCGGACACAGATGCGTGACGGAGCTGGAGTGCACGGGGTTCTGGGGAGCCTGCAGGCATGCGGGAGCTGGGTGTGGGGTCCGCGCCCCATGCTCCAAAGCAGCTCCGTAGGTCACTCTGCGTAGCGCGCATGTGCTGACACGTCCAAGGTGCCCCCAAGGGTGAGAATGAGGGCTGGGGCTGCCCTGCAGGGGCCCCCACTGCACAGACCCCGGCCTGACCACGGCTGCTGTGTGTGTCCTCAGCGCCCCCGCCCTGCTGGGCCCACTCCGGAGCATCCGTCTCTGGCACGACAGCCGTGGGCCCTCCCCGGACTGGTACGTGAGCCACATCATGGTGAGAGTGCTGGCCCCCGGGCATGGACGGAGCTCGCTCTTCCCCGCCGAGTGCTGGTTGGCGGCGAGCAGGCAGGATGGCCGCGTGCAGCGGGAGCTGGGCTGCCTGCGCCGGGGTCTTGGCTTCTGGAAGGTAGGTGATCAGCCAGCCGGCGGCTGCAACACCAGCTCTGCTTCCCCCTGCAGCCGTTTGACTAACTGCACTAAAGTTAACCTCAAGGTGGCCGTATCCTAAAGGATGCCACGAGCGAGCGAGCCTGCGGGCGAGAATGAATTCATTCCAAATCTCCCAATTTAGGAGGACCCTTGCCAGGCGTTACTACTGTGATGATTTTCCTGTAATAACATTCACGGAATTTACTGTTGCCTGTGGTCTGTGGAGTCCAGAGGGCCGCTAACTAAAGACGGGAGTGCCCTGTGTATCCTGAACCCCAAGATGACCAGTCAACAGTATGGGTGTGATCAGGGGCAGAACAGCAAGGGATCAAGAAAAAAGACAAAATCACCTAAAATCTCACAAACCACCCATGAAACATGCTCTGCGCGTGCTCCAATCTCTCCCCATATGGGAGTGTTTGATCTAGTTGTGATGACACTTACGTATTTTGTGCTTTCTAATGTATTATCTTCAAGAATATTCTTTAGAAACATCACTGAAGGGCCATGTTGGACGTTGTGATTCTCTTTAGTTTAGTTGTAGAAACACTTTGATGGGGGCTTTGTGTTTCCGGGGACCAGTTTCGCAAGCTGGTCTCAGACGGGCAGAGGCCAGTGAGGGCTGGTGTCCTCCCACGTCACCAGATCCTTCCTTCCAGTGTGTCCCTGTCGCCACCCGTCATGGGTGCTGCCGATCGAGTAAGAAAATGATCACAGTGCATTGGCAATATGGAAATTCTTCAGCTCCCCAGAGCTGAATGCCTGGCTCAACCGGCACTTTCCTTAGATAATTATTCAAAATGCAGTCACATTGTTTATTCTCCAGCTGTTTTGCTTGAGAACTTGTGCGGAGAAATCTGTAGTGTATTAGTCATAAGACCACCTGTGGGCCGGTCCATTGATATGAAGGTATAATTCTCATCTCCTTAAAACGGTTTTCCCTCGCTTTGCTTCTGTGTTCTGCTGCTCGTCACCGTTTTTCTAGAATAGCCTTGAGCACCGAGTGTTCTTTGAGTTGAGCTGATCCTTTGGAACCCAGTGCGGTTCTGTAGGTAACATGCCGCCCACCGTGTGGCTGATGCTGCAGGGCTACTGAGGACAGCCAGGTGGCCCGGCATGCTCCAGGGCTGCAGTGTGCAAAAAGCCCAGTGAAAATGACCTGTGTTGCAGGGAACGTGCTGGGAACAGGGAGGGCTTGTAGACAGAGGCTCCAAAGAGAAGGGCGTGAAGACCTTCAAGGGGAGACAGGAGAGGTGGAGGGACAGCTTGTCCCAGAGCTGCGGACGCCCCAGCGCAGGTCCAGGGCGCTGAGCGCATGGTGGGTGAGGGTCTGCGGGGACCCAGCATCCGGCTGAGGAGCTAGCGGCATCACCCAGACCATCACTGCTTGCCCGCCAGGAGTTCTCGCTGTGGTACCAGCATCTCTCTTCTGGTCTGTTTCAGCTCCTGTATTCAAAGTTCACGGAGTATCTGGAGGATTTCCACGTCTGGACCTCCGTGTACAGCCAGCCCTCCCCCAGCAGCTTCCCGCACACAGCGCGCCTCACCGTTGCCTTTACCTTGCTGTGCGCGTATGCCTGTCTCACGGCCCTGCTCACGGTTGCAGGACAAGAGCAGGTGGGGGGCACTGGATTCTCCTGGAAGTGGCTTCCAGTTCCCAGACCTGCCATGTGACACGTTCTCAGCCCAGGAATTAGCAAAAACGGCAGTCCTGGCAGAAAGGTTCCAAGCAGGGGGAGGGAGCCGGCTGTCTTGAGCACTGCAGAGGGGATGTTGGGCTGGATGGAGCCGGGGCGTCTGCTGGGTGGTGGGCTCAGGGTGAAGCCAGCACAGGCCTGCCGTCCCTGACCCCTGCCACGCAGGGCTTGCGCCCGCCTCATGCCATGGAGTGTGACTTCTCCGGAGGGGTCAGCAGCCTGGACTGTCCCAGAGCACACTCCTGGATTTTTTTTTTTTTTAAGGTTGGCAGTTATTTCAAATTTTAAAAATCCTCTGGCCAGAAAAGACAGGGAAGAGTTCTGATGGCCACATTTGCCCTAGAGTTGCCACTGGCAACTCCAGCCTCACCGTCACTCACAGGAGGGAGGTGAATTATAAATCAGCACAGGCAGCAAGAGTGGGGACCCTGCCTTCCTATGGAAGCACAGCATGACTTTTGGGCTGTGGGGAAATAGTCCATTTTGCTTCTGTTGACAACCTCGTGGCCACTCATGGTCCCCCCAGTGGCTGGGAATGTGGTGAGGGGCTCTTTCCAGAAATGGTGTCCAGCAGAGAGCACAGTGTTCAGAGCATGTGTGAGAATAGTAACGGATTGGCAGAACCTTTAAAACAGAGTGACAGGTGCATGGAATTTGTAGGATGGTGATAAATCACACCAGGCAGCAAGAAGCTGAAAGGCTGGGTCCAGCTGGGACAGGAACGGGCCCGCGGTCCGAGAACCTGAACTCGCCCTCCCCCTGGGGTCGACCCTTTGTCTGATTTTCTCTGCTCACCAACGCGTCGGGGTTACGGACGCCTTCTCATCAGATTGTAGCAAGGACTCAGCCAGGGGCCCACGAGGCATGCCTGGGAGGAAGTGGGCACGCAGAAAACGTTCATTCAATCTGGAAAGATGTGTATATTGGAAAAACAAAAGGATTCCTTGTGAGTTGCCATTGTTTCCAAGGGTTCGGGGAGACAGGGCTTTGGTTAAACGCAGGGTACACGTTCACATTAAAGACCTTGGTGGCTACAGTGGATGCATTCCGGGTGCCTTGACCACTGCTTTCCTACAGCTCCCGTGGGCTCTCGGTGCCCCTGATGCCACCGCCGGGTCCTTCCAGACGGGTCTCCTGTGCACCCTGCTGGCTTCTCCCGGGGCACAGCTCTTGTCGCTGCTCTTGAGGCTCAGCCAGGTATGGGCAGCCCATCCGTGTGCCCTGCTGTTCCGGGAACTCCCACATGGTGGGATGCCTGCCCCAAACAACCCCCTTCCTTCTGCAGGAAGCCAGCAGGCCCCTGAGAAGAGCGCCCTCGGAGGCAGCTCAGGGTAAGTGTGCATTTAAGAAAAGCCTGGAAGGTGTTTTCTGTTTGTTTACAAATCACAGCAACAGCAAATGATGAGGTCTCCCCAGTCCGACCCAGCTGGTCCTCTTCGAGAGGCCAGCTTGTGAAGGAGACCTCGGGTCTCCTGCTCCCCGTGTTCACTGCTGTTCACTGCTGTTCACTGCCAGGACAGAGAGCTTCACTCCATCTGCGTGAAAGGGGCCGTGCAGCCCTCGCCCAGATGCCACATGGATGGGCCACACTGGCAGCCACGTCCTGGGTCTCAGGGAGGCCCGTCCTGGTGGGGCCTCAGGGAGGGCTATTTCCTGAAGGATGCTCTCTCCCAAAGAACCCTAGATCCCTCCTTTAATGTCATAACCTGGACTCCGTTTAAATCAGGCCCTCACTCCCGGGGAAGGACAGCAGACGCCCAGAAGACGCACGAGGTAAATACAACTATGTTTCGCTGGTGTCTCCCTCGGCCATGGCCCGGACATGGCTGGTCAGGCCCAGGGGGAGACCCCACGCAGGGCAGGTCCTGCAGAGAGAGGGGGCTGCTCCCCAGGGAGTTCAAGGCCCACTGTCCGGAGTCCAAGTGGAGGCCACACGAGAAGGGGTGTGGTTGCTGGTCGGTGCGGACGTTTGGGGCACGCATGGTTCCTTGTGCTTTTGAATCTCCGCCTCCCCGCTGAGAGCTCCTGTCCTTCATGGGCACGCTGTCCCCAGGCGCGTGTCCAGGCCTCGGTCCCCTCTGCCCCCCTGCGTGGGGCTGCCTCTCTGCCCTTCCGTGGTGAGCCTCGCCCGCCCCCTGCTCGGCCTTCCGGAGGGCAGGTGGCACTGCTGTTGGCTGCAGCCGCCCCATCAATTCCCGCAGGCGCCCCACCACCCTCTGCGGATGCAAACGAGCTGGTCCCAGGGCTGCCCGTGCCTCCTCTCCAGAACCTTCCCCCCAGCCTGAGGCTTGCGGAGGTGCTGGCTCAGCTCCTGAGAAAGCTTGCAAGCTGTGCTGCGGAGGACACAATACAGCACAGAGAACTGTGGGTGCTGAGGTGTTAACCCCATCCCGATGTTGTCTCTTCCAGTGTCACGGTCTCTCGGGGTGCACCAGGGCCTGCAGGGGGGCAGTGGGTGGCCGGAGTGCGGGCTGTCCATCCCCAGAGCAGGAGACCTGCGGAGCTGACTCTGGCCAGCAGGCTCCGAGGGAGAAGGGGACCCGCAGCGCTGTCCATGTGCAAGGTGACGTTGGGGCTGGGGGTGCAATGCTGGGCCCCTTCCTGTGTCCTGGGCCCCTGGGAGACACAGGGGCCGCACAGCGGGAGCTGGGTCCAATGAGGCTGGACACTCTGGTCACATGGACACCAGGCCCACCCGAAACAGCCATGAGTTTTGCTCCAAAGTGCTGGCCATTTCTGCTGTATACTTACATGGGTTTGCTCACGTCTTCTAAAGTCAGGAATACACTCTTCACTTGCTGTGGAGTAGAGTGCCTAGCGACAGCCTCGGACGAGGCGGTAGCTCAGTGGAGAGCCAGCTGGGGGACGGGGCCCCCAGGGGGCAGCCAAGCAGCTGGTCAGTGTTGCCCAAGGGGGCCGTCCGGGGCCTGGCTGGGCAGGTGCACGTGGCTGTGGGGCCTGGGGCTGCAGGGTGCATGAGCAGTGTGCTTCCTGGCTCTAGGTCGCCCAGGTTCGGGCGCTGGCCGTGGACACTGCTCCACGGACCGCGGTTGGCGAGGCGGCACCGGTGTTGGGAGGCGGCCAGGTCTGGCTGGGCTGGTGCACACAGCACGCTACGTGCTGGGGCGTGGGGTATAAAATACCTGGTTTCTGTGTGCGGATGGGGCCTGGGGCCAGCAACCTGCCGTGCCGGTGCTGGAGGTCACACACCCAGGGAATGGAGACCTGCACCTGATAGCCCGGCACACGCACCCGGCCGGGAGGGAGCGGAGGAGAGCCAAGGGACTTGGGGGAGGTTCTCGACAAAGGACAGCACCTGGGCTCAGTGTCCCCCTTGTACGCGTAGCAAGTGTCCTTCCCTTGCCTCCTCCCTGGCGGGTGCTCCTGACTCCAAGTCAGCTGACCACCTTCTGCCTCTAGACGGGCCCTGGGGCGTCTTCCTATTGGAGCAATCGCCTGAGAAAGCAGAGCTCCATGGCCTCCTCTTGGAGCCATGGGATGTGGCGGGGGACCCTCCGACTGTGTGCTCAACTCCAGAGAACTTACCCAGCAGAGCCCGCGGGAGGCGGCTGCTGCCCACCTGCTCCTCCTCCTCTGTGTGGCTCTTCTCACCCTCCCCTTGCTCCCCCCCCCCCCCCTCTGCTCTTCTCCTGCCCCCCCCCCCGCTCCTCCCCTTCCCTTTCCCCCACACTCCTCCCCACCCCTCCACTTCCTCCCTCCCCCTCCTTTATATGCACAATGAAAACTCCAAACTGTGGCCCAGGCACGGCATCATTTTGATGCAGAATGCTGAGTGTAAAAAGCACTCTGCCCTGAGAACGTGAGAGAGTGAGGCCCCTTTTCATCCAGGCTGAAGATGGTGGTACCTGCACGCAGCTGCCATGTAGACGCAGCTGCTCTGCACAGAATGCAAATCTGTTAGCACCTTGCACGGGGTGTGTGCAGGGGTGCATGTATATATACAAGGAACTGGCTCGTGCGCTCAGAGGCCGGCTGGTCTGATGAAAGCTGGAGACCCAGGAGCTCCAGTGTTTCAGTTCAAGTCCAAAGACAGGAAAAGGCAGGTGTCCTGCTCAAAGGCCCTCAGGCAGGAGGAATTCTCTCTTACTCTGGAAGGTTGGCTTTTTGTTATATACCAGCCTTCACCTGACTGGATGAGGCCCACCCACTGGGCAGGCAACCAGCTTTACTCTGTCCAGCCATTTACGTGTCCATCTCTCTAGAAGCCCCCCTCATGGACACGCCCAGAATACTGGTCACCCAAATGTCTGCACACCGACGTCCCAGGCCCGCTGATAGAATTAACGACCGCATTCGGGTGGACAGAAGTGATGAGGCCTGTTACGTATACCTCTTCCTGCTCTCCTTTAGCCCCCAACAGCGGATTTCGAGGACTTGCTGAGCTTCGGTGGCCGCGGGCTCTGTTGCCTTGGTCAGGCTGCGTGGTGTGGGCCATTTGCGGGATGGTTTCCGTGGCCTGTGGCTTAGGGACGGCGTTTCTAGGATACAGGTGAGCGGTCACGGTTTCAGATGTCCCCGGTCTTTGGATGGGAGAGTCTAGCACTTAGTAAAAAAAACTCCCTGCATTTCTGGGAATGCACTGGGTGGGCCCAGATGGTCTATTGCTATTTTGGTCCTCATTTCTCCCTCCCACGCCCTGGGGGTGAGGAATTTGTGTACAAACCCCAAAGGGCCGCTGGGCCTGGCCGGCTCTGGGAAAGCAGCTCGGCCTGGATGGAGTCCCTGTGTCATGAGAGGCCACGGGACCCCCCCTCAGGAAGGAGGGAACCCGGTTGCAGAGCTCCCAAGAAGCTGGGCCTCGGGGTCAGGTGTGCTGGTACGATTCGGACTCTGTCTGTCCACACTGTGGCCTCACCATCTCGTTCCCGGGCAGCTCGGGCCCCCGGCGTCCCCGGGGCGGGTCAGCGCGGCTCCTGTGGGTCCAGGAGGGGCAGCCCTAAAACCAAGACGCATCCCTCCCCCCTGCTGCACTCCTCCCTCTCTTCAAACGCGCGAAACGACTCACACGACGATGGCTGGTGGCGGGCAAGTTGCCTAAAAAACAAACTCCTCTCCGTGACTCAGTTTGCTCAGCTGTGAAATGGGAAAATTCACAGGGTTTTAGGAGGAGCTAGTGAAATCGTCCGTGCCCGGTGCCTGGCACCTGCTCAGTGCTCTGCAGATGCAAACTTTGTTGTCGTGATTGTAATTAAGCCCCCCACCCCCTCCGTGCTCTCCGCATCGCTGGGCTGGCTTTTCCTCTCTCTCTCACGCTCAGCGGCTTCACGGGGTTGACGCCCCTCGCGACACACAGAACTCCCTCCGCTGGGCAGAGCGATGGGGTGCCTGGCTCACGGCCCCCTCCCCGCCTGCCGTCACGAGGACGCGGGCCCTTGGGTGTGGTGTCCCTGTGCGCGTGCAGGCGGGTGCTGACGGCCTCTCTCGGGGGGACAGGCTCAGCCCGACGCAGTGTGTGCGCTGGCTGCACCTGCTGACGCTGTCCGTGCTGTGCTGTGTTTTCATCTCGCAGCCGCTTCTGGTGAGCGGGGGGCCTCCTGTGGGCGCCACTCTGCGTCAGCCTGGGGCTGGGGCTGGGGCTCCGCGTTCCTGTCGCATTATTACATTTCTTCATATTTTGACTGAGTGTGAAGGAACCTGGGAGCCAGGCTGCCCACAGACACCTCCCAGGAAGGTGGGGGGGGGACCTCTTAAAGCCCATTTTCACTCGAGGACACAGAGCCTGGGGAACGGGGGGCCCGGGAATCCCAGGCAGGTGACACCAGCTTGTGTGGGATTGTGAGCGGGAAGCAGGGACGTGGGGCAGTGACCGTGCACACATCGTCGGGTCTCTCCTTCCAGGTGGGCCTTGTGGCCGTGGGCTTTGCCTGGAGAAGGAGAGACGACCCGCACTTCTTCACCGAGTCTCTGCGCGCGGCCACCGAAGACCTGGACGCTGAGCTTGAGGAGCGAGCGAGGCCCCGCACGCGCCAGCATGCGAGCCAGATGGAGGAGGTGAGGCTGCCCTCCGTGCCCCATTCCAGCCCCATCAGGCCGATCTGCACTTACTCTGTGGATTCAAATTCAATTGCATTCTAGGGTGTGATTTTATTTCTTATGCTCCTTTTTGTGCACGACACGATGGGTGAACACACAGGATCCATTTCCTTCCCTCTACCCCCATCCCAGAGAAATCAGAGCATCGAGTACGTGAGCTTATTTTAAATTATTGAAGCAAAATGAGAACTAGAATTCTTGGCCACAGTTTTAGAAAACTTGTAAGTCATTTACATTTCTGTGGACCCACAAGAATTTCACTTCTTCCCCGCTTCCTTGCTCCTTCTCCTCTCCCGCCTTCCTTCTGATGGTCAGTGGTCCCCATCGTGTGTGGGGTAGGCTGGGCAACAGGAAGGAAGAGAAAGGTCTCCGGCGGGGACACGCACAGGCTCAAGGCCACCTCAGTGCAGTGACCTGTGGCGGGCGCTGTGTCCTCGGGTGCAGTGAGCAGTGGTGGGCCATGACCAAGGACGCATCCCAGGGTCCCGACAGTCAGACCGCACCCCTCCCTTCTCCCCCCTGACTGCCATCGTTCCAAAGGTGGCCAGTGAGCTCCTAATGACTCCCCTCCTCTAACTAACCTGTCGGCGCCCCCGGGACCCCGTCGGTGACAGTGACAGGAGCAGACTTCTTAAATGGCCCACTGCCCACCGGCCTGCTGTCAGTGACCCGTATGAAGTGTCCCTGTCCCCAGCCCCAGGAGGCACGGACAGCGCCGCTGCTCCCTGGGCCTGGCAGGAGTGCCAGAGCTCCCCAGCTCACAGCACTGCCGTCCCCACAGATGTTGGCCGCCCGACAGCAAGCGCGCCGCCTGCGCTGGGCGCGTCCGCCGTCTGCAGCCCAGCTCAGCGTCATCAGGGAGAGGATGAGAAGAGAGACCCGCACCAGGGTGGCCCTGAGGTGGGTGGCAGCCGGCCAGGCCTTGCTCTTCTCCCACGGCCCCTGGGAGCGGGGTGTGCAGGTGGGGGCCCAGCTGCAAGGGAGGGGACACCAAGGGGACAGCGGGTCCAGAGACAGCAGGTCTGGAGGGAGGCTGAAGCCGCTCCTTCTGCATATGCTGCGCCCAAAAGTCTGGAAAATCCCACAAAAGTGAAAATGAGAAAAGCAGACAGAAGGGAATTGAGTAAAGTAACAGGTTAAAACACTAAAATGCAAAGCCCAACGTCCTTCATATATGGACAGTGAAAGCCAGTAGAGGATTTGCCAAAAGACTCTTTAACGTGGCCAAGGAATAAAACACCACAAACACACGTGGGCATCACCGTGAGAGGAAATGCACCAAACTTCCACAGGAGAAGTGTGCGCGGTCCTGAGAAGCACAAATGTCACTCGAACATCACGTGTTCTCCAGCTCTGTCTAAAATTGTGTCTGACTTCAACACAGTCCTGATCAAATGCCATTGGACCTTTCTTTTCTTCCTTCCGCTTCCCCTTCTTTACTGGATCTGGTCAGTTACGAAGTCCCTTTAGAAGAACAGCCGCAGAGAGCCGGTCAGGAAGACCCGAGGCAGCGGAGTGAGTGGGGCCCTCGCTGTGCTGGACGTGCCTGCAGAGCACAGGCCTCTACTAAGGAGTGTGGCTCTGTGAACGAACAGAAGACAGCCCCGTGGGCCAGGATTGGAAATCCAGAACCAGACCCGAATACAAATGCCACGGTGCAGGAGTCTATGACGGAGGCGTTATCTCAGCTCATTTGGGGAAAAGATGGAACTTTTAATAAGGAATAACTGAATGGGCATGAGGGTAGTGTAAAAAAACGAACGACCAGATGCTCTTGTCACAATGTACACAAGTTCATTCCACATGAATAAAGATTTAAATGTGAAAACAAAACCATACATGTCCCAGAAGAACATGTGTGTCAATATATGACCTGTGGGCAGGGAAAACCTCCTGTGACTTAAAATCCAGGAACTAAAAGAGAAAACAAATTTGGTGACATGTACCAACCGCCTCTTTAGAATAAAACTGGGCTCAGGAAGCCGACAGTTCACAGAGAAAAGAAATGCAGATGTCACTTGCACTTACGATGAGAGATCACAAATTTAAAGTACAAAAGTCTGGAAGTGAGACCACACGCAGTGGCTGGTGAGCTTGTGAAGACGTGACATCACGTGGCGCTGGTGTGAATGCAGGCTGGTCCCACCTGTGGGGACTGGGAAGTCCCTTGCATGTCACAGATGCACGTACCTCCTCCCAGCACCCCTGCTGCAGGGAACCCATCAGCAGAACCCGAGAAGACCCAGGTGCAAGGCAGGTGATGCGGGACCCCTTGTAATAGAAACAGCCTAAACACTGGGGCACCTGGGGGGCTCAGTCGGTTAAGCATCCGAATCTTGATCTCAGGGTTGTGAGTTCAAGCCCTGCGTTGGGCTCCACCCTCGATGTGGTGGAGCCTACAAAAAAAAAAAAGGGCGCCTGGGTGGCTCAGTTGTTTGAGCGTCCACCTTCGGCTCAGGTCATGGTCCCGGGGTCCTGGGATCGAGTCCCGCGTCGGGCTCCCTGCTCAGCGGGGAGTCTGCTTCTCCCTCTGTTTGTTGCTCACCCAGCTTGTGCTCTCTCTCTCTCTGACAAATAAATAAGTAAAATCTTAAAAAAAAAAAAAAGGAGAGGAAGAACCAGATATTATGTGTCTTCTGATGGAAAACACATCACCTAGGATGTAATCTACCCCAAATAGACTGGTCTTTATCTGAGCACATTTTTGTGCCAGCATGTTGTTGACAAGAGAGCACACGCTGTGTCCCTAGGAAGCAGGATACAGAGAGAGAGGTAGCAATAGAACCAGTTTTCTCAATAAATAAGCCGCAGAGACCAACTAGGGATGGAGGTGCTGCCTCTGGGGTAAAAGAGACACAAGAAGGAAATAGTGAATTGAAACCACGGTAGTACCAGACTAGTAAGAAAAACGTTATGAGGGGCGCCTGGGTGGCTCAGTCGTTAAGCGTCTGCCTTCGGCTCGGGTCGTGATCCCAGGGTCCTGGGATCCAGCCCCGCGTCGGGCTCCCTGCTCCGTGGGAAGCCTGCTTCTCCCTCTGCCGCTCCCCCTGCTTGTGTTCCCTCTCTTGCTGTGTCTCTATCAAATAAATAAACAAAATCTTTAAAAAAAAAAACACCATATGATCATCTCAGCAGATGGAAAAGAAACCATTTGACAAAATCTTACATCCATTCGCGGAAAAGAAAAAAAAAATCTCAGCGAGCTAGGAATAGAAGAGAACTTCCCTAAACTAATAAAGGGTATCTGTGAAAACCCTACACCTAACCTCACACTTGCTGGTGAGACAGTGTGTGCTTTCTAAAAATCAGAAACAAGGCGAGGAGCTCCTTTCCCCCTAACTCTGGTTAAACCTCACATGGGAAGGCCCAGCCAGTGCCAGAGACAAGACCAAGAAACACAGCGTTTACAGGTTTGAAAAGAAGAAATACAACAGCCTCTTGCAAGAAGACACGAATAGTCTATGCAGAAAATCTCAAATATTCCAAATAAATCTAAGAAAACGTGCAGAACTGATAGGCCGAAAACCACAAGACACTAATGAACAAAATCAGAAAATCTAAAGAAACGGAGAGACACGTCGTGTCTGTTGGGACACTGGTGTTAAGATGCCCACTCCTTCTAACTCAAGCTATACATTCAGTCCCAGCCAAACTCCCACAAGCTTTTCTCTAGATATTGGCGAGCTGATTCTAAAATTTATATGGAAAAGAACTAGAATAACAAAAACAATTCTGGAAAAGAACAACAAAGCCAGAGCACTGATTGTACCCGACTTTAAGTCTCCCTACAAAGCCAAGCCATGGTAACCAAGACACCAATATTGGTGATAGGTCGGCACAAATGTGCTTAGTTGATTTTTTGACAGGGCAAGGCCCTTCTCGTTGGAGAATGGATTTTTAAAATGGTGCTAGGAAAACTGGATGTCAGATGTGCAGAAAAAACGAACCTCAGCACACACTTCACACCTTATCCAAAAATTCACCCAGAGATTTAAAAAGTCAGGTTTAGACATCCAGGGTTGGTGTAGATGCTAATTTTAAAATGTGTTTCTTGTAGAGACATCTGCATGTACACCCTCATGCTGCTTCTGCATGTGTTTATACTTTGTGGGAGATGCTCCCAGGATGAATATTCTCTCAATCAAGCCATCCGGAATGAGTTTACAAGGTAGGATGTTTTGTCCACCTTCTCTAGACCCCCGGCCACCGCACTAGGAGTGGTCTGTTCGTGGCCAGCGTATGCTGACGGGGGTACCCAGAGACCAGGGTTTCGGGACGGTGGAAAGTACCTTCTCTGGGCCTCCATTTTGCAGAAGTAGAACGTCCTGCGGGAGAGGACTAGATGGTCGCCACCATCCCACGGAAAAAGTGGTCGAATTGACTTGGACATTGTTTGCCCCACTGTTTTTTTTGTTTATTTATTTATTTATTTATTTGTTTATTTTTAAGATTTTATTTATTTAACTGACAGAGAGAGAGACAGAGAGAGAGGGAACACAAGCAGGGGGAGTGGGAGAGGGAGAAGCAGACTCCCCGCTGAGCAGGGAGCCCGATGCGGGGCTCGATCCCAGGACCCTGGGACCATGACCTGAGCCGAAGGCAGTCGCTTAACCAACTGAGCCACCCAGGCGCCCCTCTTTGCCCCACTGTTAACAGGAGGCCTCTTTTTGCAGACTTTGGGCACGTTCAGAGCATCTCATTTTGATTAATAGTGAAATGATATTTTGAGGCACATTAAGGTCTGGGCACCAAGACACTAAAACAGGTTATTGGGGTGGCTCTTTGGTGGAGGCCGTCTGAGTTCCTCGACCAAAGACTCTTGCGATTTGCAAGAAATGGCACACGATTTCCAGTGGTGGTAATTCCCCTTGAGCTCTCTGTCACTTCTCAAGTGCTAATTGGTCTCTTCCTACTTTTAAAAGCAATAGATGTTGGGGCACCTGGGTGGCTCAGTTGGTGAAGTGTCTGCCTTCTGCTCAGGTCATGATCTCAGGGTCCTGGGTCGAGTACCACATTGGGCTCCCGGCTCAGCGGGGGAGTCTGCTTCTCCCTCTCCCTCTGCCTACTTGTGCTGTCTCTCTTTGTCTCTCTCTGTCAAATAAATAAATAAAATCTGTAAATAAATAAAAGTAGTAGATGTTCATTGTAGGTAAGCATCGAAGAACTGAAAAATAGAAAGCAGAAAAATCTCAATAACAGTACCACCCAGAGGCAACCACGGACACATTTTGTCGTGCCAGAATTTTCTCCGTGTTTCAGCATTTCTGAAATTGGAACAGGAACTGTATCAAGGTGGATACTTTCTTTGTGTGGCATTCTTTTCTTTTTTTTTTTGACAGTTGTTATTAAGTGACTTTGTTTTCACCTGCCAAAAATATTCAGTCTGATAGTTGTTTCAAAAAAGTTTGGCTTTGAGTTCTGAAGTGCATGATATGAACTCATACTGATTCTTTACTATGGCAGAAGTAAAAGACAGTGTTCTAAGATTTACTTTCTCTTTCCATGGAGAATATTTTATTTTGTTTTTTAAGGATTTTATTTATTATTCTGAGAGAGAGAACATGAGCAGGGGGTAGGGGCAAAAGGAAAGGGAGAAGCAGACTCTCGGCTGAGCAGGGAGCCCGACGTGGGACTCGATCCCAGGACCCCGAGATCATGACCTGAGCTGAAGGCAGACACTTAACCGACGGAGCCACCCAGGCATATCTCTGGAGAATATTTTAAAATACATTCCTGCATTTTTTCTATGACTGTGTTGCCCTTGACTAAGTAATTCAATTTGATGTACTTTACTTTTGTTGCTTTTGCGGGGGCAGAGGTGGGTGGCTGGCAAATCTATTTAATTTTATCTATTAGTTAAGGGTGTATTTCTTTTTATCTTCCTGTGAGAAAGCTGGTGATTAATACCCACCCAGTTGATGGGCGGACAAAGGTAGGGTTAGGAGCCACTAGTAAAGATGCCCGAATTCATGAGTCTGGACTCCCTGCAGAACACAGTAATGCAACTGCTCACCGGTGAACATTCTAGCAGTGAAACTGCCTCCCCCCTTTGCAGAAACGGCTGTTCTTTCCATGAAGAACATGGAACATTGTCAGCTCTCCAACCACCCCCACATAGGCACAGTTTGGGCCAGCAGGGGGCGCCATGCGCAAAGCAGAGTGACCATGTGGGTCGTCCTCTCTAAATGGAAAGGAAAACCTGAGCTATTTCTGGCTTTCATCGTTTAGTTTTGATCTCATATTTCGTAAGTCAGCACTACTTGACATATTTCTCATACGAATTCTTGCCTCTTGGTACTCAAATCAGAAATATCGCAGCTGAAATAATATTTGTGTGACGTGTCCCGTGCAGAGCCATTGATATGTTTGGATTCCTGGCTCAGAGGCTGGCCCCCTGGGTGTGCATGGGCCCATATTTCCTACTACAATGCAAAATGCAAAATCCCATTACTTCTGGTGTGCTGGCCACCAGGCAGGGGTATCTGTGTGTCCGGGTTTGTACTGGGATATTCAAGCTGGACCCTCTCCCCCACCATCCCCTGGTGCCTGATCCTGAAACTTCAACAGCATCTTAGGGTTTAGAGTTTGCCAGCATCCAGGAAGAACAAAAGCACAGTTGGATCAAGTCTAATTCAGGGACCTGGCTTTGTTCCACTTTGTTCAGTTAGCAGGTGACTTGGGCAAGTCCCGACTCTGGGCTGAGTATCCCCATCTGCAAAGTGAGGCAGTTGCGCTGCTTGATTTCTTAGGTCTTCACCAAAAAAATGATCATGATATTGGATTCCATCACATTCAAGTTTTCTTTGAAGTCTTTCTGGACTCAATCAAGTCTTCATGAAAGTCCAAGTAAAACAGAAATAAACCACCGAATAAAGCACCAATAAATGAAATAAATAGTCACTCTGTCCAAGAGCCATAAATGGGATATAACTACTGACTTTAGTTTTGCCATGTTTCGCAAGCTCTGTAGGCCTGTTTTATTTAATAGCTCTAATTAATATGGAGTGAGAACATTCTTGGATGGTTTGGCTCACTCCCTGCTCTCCGCCTGTGTCGAGAACAAGGCGTGAGTTGTGCACAGTCTGGGCGTGTGACAGCTATCTCTGGTCACATCCAGGTCTTTTTTTTTTTTTTCCTTAAAAATTTTATTTATCTATTTATTTTAGAGAGAGCTCGGGGGGTAGGGGAGAAGCAGAGGGAGAGGGACAAGCAAACTCTGTGCTGAGTGCAGAGCCCTACGTGGGGCTCGATCTCAGGAGCCTGAGATCATGACCTGAGCCGAAACCAAGAGTCAGATGCTCAACTGACTGAGCCACCCCAGGAGCCCCCACATCCAGGTCTTTCTTGAAGACTGTTTCCTTAACGTCATCCCATTGAGGAGCGACCATCAGAAAGCGATACTATTCCCTCCAAACTATGGTTCAACCAGGGCCTCGCTCAGTGTGCAGTGTATAACCAGCACCTATGAAGGGTCTGCTTGGATTAGGCTCTAAAAATGGACAAACCAAGGAAGGATAGAAGTCATGTGTGGATGAGTCCGTAAGGAGAAGGAGACAGAAGCAGTAAGATAAGTGAGCTCACCAGACTTACATCCCCACTCCCCGGACGTGTTTGAACATATTTATAGCCCCTGCGAATGTTGATTGAGATCATTTGCTTTTCTCTATTAATCCATGCACTAGTGACTTATTGCTAACATGTCACTAACAGGACACGTCTTCCTCTTTGATTTCTTTCCCTTTTATATTGTCCAGTGTCTGTCATGACTGTCAGGTTTTAAATCACTTCCTAAGTGTCTCTAAAATCTGCCTCAATCAGCAACATAGTATCTGCCCCAATCCCTCTCCGAGGTGTGGTGGTAAGTGTAACGGGGCTCTGGGGAGCGACAGCACCCACCTGTCGCACCTGCCCGCCTCTTCCCGTGCTGTCAGCGCTCCCACCACGGTCTGTTTCACGCTATGGCCGTGGGTGCGGAGCCGGGGCGGCGGGTGGCGGCCGACTCTCAGGGGCCGCTCAGGGCTGGGCCCCGGCCACGTGATGGCCCAACCTTGTGCTCACGTCTGTTTAATGAAACCAGAAAGGTGTTTGAAGAGCTCATCATCGCTGTGTTCTTGGGGGGGGGCGCGGCCCTAGATTTGGTGGCTGGACGAGGCAGGACGATGAAAATTGTGTCCTTGGATGACCGGAGTCTAGATCTTTTCCTCACTTCTCATTGCTCTCCCACAATATCACCTCCCGAGAAGCGTTCTGGTCTCCCCTTCTCATGGAGGGACACCCGGCTGCAAGAGCCGCCGGACGCCCACTGGCCTCTGCCGTGGGGACGTTAACCACACACCATCCTTGCCTTTCCCATGGGTCCTTCCTGCGAGGCCACGTGGAAGGAAGTGTCTTAGGGGTGGGTGAGAAGTATTTTGCTCTCTAAAGAAATTTACCTTTTCCTTGTATGTCTGGCTGAGCAGCTTGGAGCTCCTGATGCTCTGGTGTGTAGCTCGGGTCCGTGTGTGTGGCTCCACCGTATCGTCTGAGTGAGCGAAAACGATCAATGGTGTCGGTCTGAAATGATTTCAGGGCTCCCTTAAATCAGTCCCTTGTTGGAAAGTGAAACAGATATCTGATAAGAGTAACACAGCTTTGTCACAGGGCCCTCTCCCCGCCTCCCGCTGAGGAACAAAGTGGGCTCCGGAGTCACGCTGTACCTGAGACTGCGCATGACTTTGCTTTCATTCCTGCAGTTACCACCAATTCGTGTCAGAGAAAAATCGCTTTTTGTTTCTGCTCTTGTGCTCAGGGGTGCCAGGAGCGTCTCTGGCGGCCTGAGAAGTGTGGGTGACTGGTGGGGCTGGAGTCTGAGCACGCTGCTGGACGGCCTGCATGGGGGAGGCGCCTCCACGGCCGGCCCGCCCGGCGCTCAGGTGGGCTTCCGTCTGCTGTCCACTCAGACATAGCAGGGGAGCGCGTCGGGGTGGGTCAAGGGTGCCAAGATGCTTGACCTGCAGCACTGCACACACTCTCTCTCTTTTTTAAAAGATTTATTTATTTATTTTAGAGAGAGAGAGCACAAACAGGAGACGGACAGAGGGGGAGGGAGAGGAAATCCCGAGCAGACTCCCTGCTGGGCTCAGAGCAGAACACGCGGCTCGGTCTCGCGACCTTGAGATCACAACCTGAGCCGAAACCAAGAGTTGGACGCTTGACCGACTACACCACCCAGGCGCCCCCACTGTGTGTACTCTTGGATGACCGCTGGGTTGTAGGCCAGTGGCTCTCTGCTGTGGGTACACCCCATGGCTTCTCCATCTCAGCGTACCCGCCTTAGCCACCCATGCACCCCCGGACACCAGCAGGTGCCAGGCTGGACTGGACGCAGGGCATGGCGGGTCCACACGAGCTTGTGGGCCAATGGGGATGGCTATAGATCAGTGAGCAAAATGCTGTGACATGGGGACGCAGGGCACTGAGGGACGGGGGGGGGGCATCCAGGAAGCTTCCGGAAAGAGGCAAAAGCCCTTCCCCAAATTCTGAGAAAAAAATTACCAGTGAATAGCATCTCACAGAATATGACGCTAATAAAGGCTCTTTTGGGACACTGCTCCATCCCTCTGACGTCCAAGACTATGGCTCGCAGCATGTTCCAGCTTTGCGGTCTGTCCAGCGGTCTTGCGTTTCCCTTCTTCCTCCAGCCTGGAGCCCTTGGTGGGAAGTGCTACCTACTGGGCACCCCGGTCATCCAGCAGCTGAGAGATCCTTCTGGCGGCGTGTGCGAGGTAAGCCGCTCTCCTCCTGGTTATTTCTTTGTGTGTGTGCGTCTTCTCCCAAGCATCGCTCTTTATTTATGTGTTTATTTTATTGAAGTAGAGTGAATATACCATGTTATGAGTTTCAGGTGTACGATACACTGATGTAGCCATTCTGTACGTCCCCTGCCGCTCATCACGACAGGTGCACTCCTGAATCCCCATCACCTGGTTTCCCCATCCCCCGGCCCACCTGCCCTCTGGCAACCGCCAGTGTGTTCTCTGTAAAGTACAGTTAGAGCTAGAAAAGTCTTGGAGACATTGGGCAGGAAGGCCACAGACTGCAGGAACCCTCTCTGGGAGCCTGGCTGTGACTTGAAATCATCAGCGGCCACGGTCCAGGACAGCCAAACCTTTCCCATGCCCTCTGCCGGTCCTGGCACGCTGTGGGAAACCAGGACATCTCTATCTAAAATACAGAAAATACTCCCAACCAAGAGCCTTGTATCTTTTCCTGGTTGGGAGGGGCTGCTCGAGGGCGTGCAGCTCGCCCGTGTCCTCCTGCGACGGAGCCCTTCTGATGTCCAAGCCCGGATGGGTGCACGGCTCAGGTGCCAGCCTCCGCGTGGTGGAGCCCTGATCCTTCGGGCTCAGCTGGACCCCAGGGAGATGAGGGGGCTTTGAGGGAGCAGGGGCTGTGTGCGGCCAGCCTTGGGCATCCCAGGCCACAGGTTAACTTTGAAGCAAGCGTGTGATTCTCCCTCCAACTGGTGGTTTCTCCTCCAGCTTCCCAGCCCACCTTCAGCGCTTTCCGAAGACTCTCCTCCTCCGCATGGCCCCAAAGTCGGAGGCCCTGACACCCCCCCCATGGCAGATCCCGCCATCCAAAGAGTGGCCCCGAGTGGCCCCAGAGGCTGTGGGGCCGGGGAGCCCTGGGTGCTCAGCCTGGGCAGCACAAGGTCAGTGGGATTCAGAGGTCGGCTCCACCCGGGCCTGCCCATCCATGGCTCCGCGCGGCAGCTGGATGCCACGGCACGCCCATCCCAAGGCAAGGGCAGGTGTGTTCACACTGCAGAATGACAGGAGTGAGGCCCAGGGCAGGAGGCCATGTCAGAAGATCAATGCCAATGGAGGGCTTCAGTCTCTGAGCATAAGAAGGAACGAGCCGAACGTTCCCCTAGAATTTGCCAGAGGTCTGGAGGTCAGGGAGCCTAATGGACACTTGTCCTCGCTGGCTCTGTGCTGAGTAGGATGCTCACGGGGCCTCATGGTCCTCACGTGGCTCTGCGAAGGAGGCAGTCCCACCTTGGTCTGGCGTTGTGCGGATGAGCCTCTGAGTTGCAGCCACGGTCCACGGTTGGTGGCCCGACCCTCTGGCAGCCATGGCAGCACATGACCTGCGTGGGGGTGGACTGTCTGAGGGTGCCATGGGACCCTGGGGCAGGTGATAGGTGCCTCTGAGTGATGCAACAACACAGAAGGGAGATTCTTTCATTGTTACCAAACACAGACAGGTCACAGTTAGCTTCTTCCCAGGACCAGAGTAAGCCCACAGCAGAAAAGATAAAAGAAGATTCTAGAATTCTAGAGGCCTTGCAGAGAGAGGTGGTCACCTCTCTCCCGAGTTGTGCCCGTGAGAGAGGGAGGGCCTCCTTCCCCTGGAGCGTCCCTGCCTCAGGGGCCCGGGCAAGGAGCGGGGACACGCACAAGTGTGTCTGTCCAGCCCCAGGAACCTGGGTGGCCTCAGGGGCCCGGGGTGCGAGGCTGGGGGCCGGAGGGCTCCATGCAGGCTTTGCCCTGACGTGCACCACTTTGCAGGCCGGCAGCCCACGCGGCCCTCAGCAGCCTCCGGGCCAGCAGGTGGATCGACCGCAGCACCAGAACCGTGTCTGTGCACTTCGCTCTCTATAACCCCCCCACTCAACTCCTGTCTGGTGTGTCCCTTTGCGCCGAGCTTCTCCCTGCGGGGGGCCTGGCCTTCTCCCCGCTGGTGGAGTCGCTGGCTGTCTTCCGCAGTGACTCGGCCCTGTGGCCCGGCCCCACGCTTCCCGAGGTAGGTCCTCCCGCCCCTGCCCTGCACGTGGACCCCGGGGCTCCTGCAGTCTGCTCCCCACCTCACCCGGACCCGCAGGGTCACAGAGCCCGGCACTTGGCACCGTCAGTCTTTCTTTGGTTGACACGAACGCTGGCCCGCACCAGCACTGCTCCCCAGAGGGACAGAGCAGTGTCCCCAAAGAGGCTTTATTAGCTCCAGAGTGTTAACCGGGAGGGTCCAGGGGAGCTCAGCAGGGCCGACCTGCCCAGGGACGGGGTTCACGCGGCTGGCGCTCTGAGTGAATGAATGCAGGCCAGCAGGAATGCACAACGCATCCAGGCAGAGATAAGCATAAGCAGAGCTTCAAGAAATTCCCTGATACAGGAGCTTCGGAGGCTGTATGTGGCCAAGGAGCGGATAATTAATTAATCAATCAATCAATCAATCAATCACAAATATGAGAAAACTCATCTTTGGAGCTGGGTGAGGACGGGCCGGGAGGACCCTGCCAGGTCACGCTCAGGGTCTGCTCGTGCGCGGGGCCCGCGGAGAGCTCACCCGCGTCCCTCACCCTGGCACGGAGATGGGCAGGCGGTTCTGCTGGCGGAGGTGCTTGGAAAGAGCAGGCTTACCGTCAGCACTCTGCAGAGCCAGAGATGGGCTTAGTGTGGAGCTCGGGAAACCACGTGTCCCGTCCGTCTTTCTGTTTGCTCTGCTCTGTCTGTGTTCCCTCCACTAGCTGGCCTTCCTGCTGCTCAGCCTGACTCACCTCTGCTTGCGACTCTGCAGCCTGGCCGAGAAGGGTTTCCACAGCTACTGGCGCAAACCAGGGACCTGGCTGGAGGTAGCCACTCCTGTTGTTTTCCGTGGGAAAAGCAGGAACAGTGAAGTCCTTACCTGGAAATGAACCTGTTTTTAGTGGGAAACTGCTTATGCCCTGGCTGATTCCAGCTGTCGTGAGGTCTCCCCGCGTCGTGTTCACGACAAATAGCATGAGATCAGTGTCCACTTCCTGCTCTCGCACCGACGTTGCACCCTGAGCCGCTCGGGGGCCACGGTGGGCCCCTCCCCCAGTGCCCCCTGAGGCTCCTTTCTCTTCCCCGCTGCAGCTCGCCATAGTGGGAGCCAGCCTCGCCTGCCATGCAGCCTCCAGCCACCTGGCCACGCTTGCTGGGGAGGTGACCGACCACTTCCACAGAGGACACTTCCGAGGATTTATGGATCTCACTGTGGCGGCCTTGTGGAATCAGGTACAGCAGGGCGTCCAGGTGGGTCCATGCCCTGTGACGCTGTCCAAAGGAAGAGGTCATACACATTCTAGAAGGTTCCAGACAAGGGATTTGTTCCATATTGAGCGAAAATGCTCTGAGCTCGAGGATGAGGGTGAGCGGGACAGGGAAGGGCTGGAATCCATGTTGCGGGCTGGGGTGCCTGTGTTCTGTGTGCAGCACAACTCAGAGCACGGAGTTGCTCCAGTGGCTCCCTGTGACCCTACATGGGGGAAGGAAGCAGGTGTCGAGGTGGCAAAAAGGAGGCACCGGCAGACTTAGGCACGTCAGGTCCGTCCTCCCTCTTCCTTCTGCGGCCATCCCAGAGGCGGGCGGTGTGAGCCGGTCCCACCACGGGGACAGGTGGGGCTTCATGTGGGGGTCGGTCCATCAGAGGAGGGGATGGGGGCTCCATGAGACGAGCAGAGCCAGACCAGTGCACATCAGGGCAGGCGAGCCCAGGCAGGGGTCCTGCCGGGGGACGTGGATGTAGGTGGGCAGAGCCCCCATGGTCCGCTTCCTTGTCCTGCTGCCTCAGAGCTCACCTCCCCCATGCCGCAGGACTCCTGGAGCTCCCTTTTCCACCCAGTGAGGGCTGCCAGGGCTCCAGATGACCTCATCCCCCCGGGCTGGGCCCTCCTAGAACAACCTAGAAGAATGGGTTATTCTGGGGCGCCTGGGTGGCTCAGTCGTTATGTGTCTGCCTTCGGCTCAGGTCATGATCCCGGGGTCCTGGGATCGAGCCCCACATCGGGCTCCCTGCTCAGTGGGGAGTCTGCTTCTCCCTCTCTCTGCTCATGTTCCCTCTGTCTGTCTCTTTTTCAAATAAATAAATAAAATCTTCAAAACAAAAAAAAAAGAATGAGTTACTCTGTGAGCCAGGTGCTGACTGGCCTCCAGGCTAGAGGGGATTCGTGCACAATGGGGCCCCGAGGTCAAGCTTCACGTACAGGTGCTGGCACAGTGCACCCCCTCCCGGCTTTCCTGTCTCTGTTAAATGTCATCCTATCCTCATGGCGCTTACCAGCCTCCACTATGACCTGCGTTGTACTGACTTGGTTAAAAGGCTGGAGGCTCCAGGAGGGAGGGAGATGGACGCTCTGCTTCACTGCCATCGGGTGGCCGCTCTCTGGGACGGACGGCAGGCTCCGGGTCTGCCTGTCACGGCGTGTCCGCGCTCCTCGGCCCTCCTCCAGCTGGATTCTAGCTTGGCCATGGGCGCCACCCCCCCACCCCGTAACTGTGGCTGCAGTGCCTGGCTTTCCCTTGCCGGTTCAGGGAACCATGGGCCGGTGGCCTGCGTTGCCCGTCTCTGTGCCCGCCTTATCCCTGGCTCACGGAGGGCTGCGCCTGGGCCTCAGGAAGGGGCGGTACCCACTCTCTACGTGATCTTCTCGCCGGTGTGGGCAGGGTCGGTCCTGTCAAAGGGTCACCGTGGGGCGACAGTGAGTGTGGTCTAGCGTGACTGCGTCTGTGCACCGTCCGTAGCCGGTGGGACACACTGACCTGCCCTGTCCTTCCGTCTCAGAGGGTGACTTGGCTCCAGGGGACCCTCTCGTTCCTCCTGACGCTGAAGTTCATCTGCCTCGTTGGCATCCCGAGCACGAGGGCATCCTGCTCCTTCCTGCTGCGTCGCTCTCTGGCTGGCATCTGCACGGCAGGGGTAAGGCTTATCTCCCGACAAACCAGCACGGTCTGGGTTCTCTGCAGTGAGCTCTTTCTCCACGGACACACGAGCTCTCAAGGTGAGGCCCAGGCGTCCAGCATCCCGGAGTGGTTTGAGATCAGGGGTGCAGGTGGTTCCAGAGTGAGGTGTGCTTGTGAACACGGGAGCCCAGACGCACTCCACACGTGCTCTGCCGCACCCCTTCCCGGAGCACTCATCCTTACGACTCATGCAAGGAGCTCTCACCACCCACGGAGCAGGTTCTGCACACCAGGAATAGCCCCTGGCTCTCTAGTAATCCCCGCCTGATGATCACAACCAAGCACGGCAGGTGCCGGGTGGGGGGAGGGGGACGGTTCTTCCTCCAAGAGAGGAGCAGGGTGCTAACGCCAGTGACAGCCCCCACTTCCCTTGCTCCTAACTCTGGTCCTGCACCCGAAAACCCCCCTATGAATACCTGAAACCCACTTGAGTGCTGTTTACCCCCCACGTGGAATCATGCCTCAGTGGGCCGCAGAAGAGAGCACACGTGTCGCGTTCTGGGGAAGCCTGGCTCCCACCCCGGGGGGGTCAGGTCTCAGTCCAGGGCTGGCCCAGTCTGGCAGGCTGTTGACACCCAGAATCAGGAGGGCCACAGCCCCACATGGGATGCTGGCCAGATTCTGGGGTGCAGGTGGTTCTGACCTGGCCCCCAGGGGGAAGAGCTTGCACCAGCCCGGTGGCCCCTGTCCTGCCCCCGCAGTTGGACTGTCATCAGGGCAGCGGGAGGGTGCAGACTAGCTAGTCTGATGAGGGGGTCTGGCTGTCAGGGTCCCAGGCTCAGGCAGCTCACAGGGAACCAAGCACAGATCTCCAAACCCTGCTGGCCTTATGCTCAGTGGGACAGACTGCACAAACTGGGTCAGGAAAAGCTGACCCAGGAGTTGGAGACCTGGCTTCAAGCCCGGCTGCACCTCTCCCGAACCCACTGTCACAACCGTGGGACCGTTATACGAGCTCCAGCTCCGGAAGCTCCTGGCAGGTGTGTGCCTGGAGGGGTACCACGGGCTTAGAGATTACATGTATGTGGAACTTATGTATGAAATTGGTCATTGTTATACCACATAGCAATGTGAAGAATGCTTTTTTTTGTTAAGAAAACACAGAGTATCATAAATAGTGTCCAAATTAAGTAACAGAATCTGAACCGTTCAGAAATTAGGGGTGTGCACGGAAGGGTGACCACACTTGCTTGGTCCAGATGGGGGACCGCTGGTGGTGTGCGGTGCCACTTAGTAAATAGTGGTGAAGTGCGTGCCAGAGTATTTGTAGGGAGGCCTCGGGTGCAGGGCCGGGGTTAGGAGCGAGGGAAATGGGGCCCCGTGGGGGCCTGGGACAACGGGCTCCTGGCTTGTCATGCAGATACGTTAGATACACACACATACACCTTGGGCCCAGGGTACAACCCCAGGCTCCCAGGCCAGGTTCCCAGCCTGCTAACAACAACCAGACCATAAAACTCCACCTGAACTAAACTTAACTGCCTTTGCTTCTGAAGTGGTTTATTTTACTGAGCCCTTGCTGGGTGCTGGGGACACGAAGAGGGTGAGAGAACCAGCCCCTGGGACAGCGTGGCTGCCGGCAACTAGGGCGGAGGGCAGAGAGCAAGCAGGAGAGATGGCCCCCCCCAGTTTGAGATGAAGGAGGGAGGGGAGTGGGTGGGGGTCTGGGGGAGGGTTGGGGCAGGGAGGGAAGGGGGGAGCCATAGGGAGGGGAGGGAGGGGAGGAGGGGAAAGGAGGAGGAGGGAGGGAAGGAGGGGGGAGGGGAGGGAGGAAGGAACAAGGGAAGGGGGAGGGGCAGGAGAGGGGAGCAGGGCCCCAGAGGGTGTGCACGAGACAGAGCTGGGCCACTAGGGATGACCCGATCAACGCTCCAAAAACCGCTTCTCCAAGCTTGTTGTTATTTTAAGGCACTTGGCAGCCTGCACACCAGTCTTGGGCTCCTAGGCGCAGGGCCCAGAGTCACAGGTCTTTCTCCCTGCAGCTGGTGGGCGTCCTGACACTGGCCGCCCACTGCCACCTGCGCGCGGTACCGCTGGGCACCTTCGCAGACTTCTCCCGAGGCCTGCTGTTCCATCTTCCGGGAAGAAGCCAAACAGACACATCCCGCCGTCCTTCTGGGTCTGACCTGTGGGCCCCGGCTTGGTGCTGCGGGGCCCTTTTCACAGTAGTGAGCACTGCGTGGTGGGGAATGGTACGTGCACACATCCCAGAAGTCAGGGTGTGCCGGGGATTCACCTGCTGTCGGGGCGAAATTCTCCGTGGCCTGTGTGCACCTTTCCGCATGGCCATGGCTTCCTGAGGCCCACCTGCCCTGCACTGGGCAGGGCTGGACATTGCTGCAACCTGAACAGGTCCAGCAAGACCAGCATCCCAGGGTGCCGCCTCCTCCAGGGAGCCCCTGGCCCTCCAAGTGCTGAGCCACACCCCGTCTCTTTCCCAACCTCCTCTCATGGTCACTGCTAACTCTTGGTTGTTATTTCAAACTTCCCATCTTATAAAGATTTCACTCCATCAGCCAGCCTTCACTGGATAGGTTCTCTGGCCTCGGGGCTGAGTTAGGAGTGGGGCTCCCTGTTTAACACCTTCCTACTGATACACCACTTGCAAACAGTCATTTCACACACACACACATCCCAATGTAAACTCAGACCTTGACAGTACTCAGACCTAAGCCCTTTGTTTTTTCCAGTGTTCCTAGCTCCCTGCTCACTGCTCATTC